GTATATAAATATGCATGTGTTTCTATATTTGTGTACATGTGCATTGGTATATATACATTACAATATATCACATGTGTATATTGTGTATAAGTACATTGTGGGGTTGTTTTTCTTTGTTATCTTTTACTTATCTTTCATTATTCTTAGCCTTTCCTGTACTGAGCTGCAGTAATGTGCAAATTTCATTACTGTGGGATCAATAAAGTTTTATCTTATCTTATTTAAACACACACACACCTGTGTGTGGCTGTTGTAATGTACAAATTTGATTCCCTTTTGTAGCGAGTTATGTTGTAATTGTTAAGGTTCGTGTTTTGAGCTCTGAATGAATACCGAACAACGTCAAAGTTTTAACAAGTTTGTTAGAAAATTTGGCTGGAAGACTGGGACCGGAATCCGGGGTAGTCAGTTCTGGACACAGAATATTAAGGTTAGGTTGGGTCAGGAACACGATATAATTTGTGAGAAAAAAGATCACCAACCTTTCCTGCTGAAATGAGGACCGGGTAGAAACAACAGCAGAAGTGCTTTGGTTCCGGGCTGTGTTGTCGGGAGGAGAGAGTGGATCGCTGGACTTACTCGTGGTCAGAAACAGGGCAAGGGTCATGCACGGGTGGTCAGAGGTAGTTACCAAGTTTGAGGGAGGTGACTGAGCCGATGATCCAGAGGTGCGTTCCAAGGTCGAGATCCGAGAGGCCCGATGTGGCGCGGTGCTGTTCAGGGAGCAGGCGAGAGACAAAAATCCAATGGACAGAAACAAGGTCGTTACCGTGAGAGCAGAAGGCAGGAGGGATCCGACAGGGGCTGAGGCAGGAGACGTGAAACCAGGAGACATGAGCAAGGTCGGGGACACGAGGCAAGAGCAGGACAAAGGGCAAGAACGCTGGAGAATCATAGGCAAGGCTGATGATTATCTGGCAAGGAGCTGGAGAATGAGACTGGGTTAAATATTGCTGCAGATACGTGAGTGGAATGAGCTTGATTAGTGTTTCTGTGACGGGAGGGGCGAGAGTAATGAGTAGGTGCTGGAAGTGAACTGAAAGGCTGGGAACAAGACAGAGAGTAACTGGGACATGAAATGAAAATAATTAAACTGAGACTAGATCAAGGCAGACAGTGACAGAATCATAACAGTAACGTCTTTTTGTTGTTGTTTGTTTTTTTTAAGACAAGGCCCCAGTACTGCAGAATTTACGTCACAGTACCAGTACTCCAAAGATTTTTTGATGATGAGGACACCATACCAGACTTCAGGTTGAGCAGAGCGTCCCTAGAAGTATTGATGAACTACATGCAACAGAACCGGCGGCATGGATGGGGTTCAACCATCGAGACCCTCGTTTTCCTATTCTGGACGCCCTGTGGGACATCCTACAGAGTGGTGGCAAGAGCATTCGACATGCCTCGTTCAACTGTCCACCGCATTGTCCACAGGGTGACAAATGAAGTAGTGGCTATATGCCATCAGGTCATCCGCTTGCCAGCTACACCTGAGGATCTTGAAGCAGTAGGCCAAGGGTTTGTGGGGCTGGGAAGACACCACGCCTTCAGTAAGGCAGCTGGAGCAATTGATGGATGCCATGTTCGTATTAAGCTACCTAACGGCCCTGACGGTCAATGCTATAAGAACAGAAAACTGTTTGCATCCATTATACTGCAGGCAGTTTGTGATAGTAAGGGTCGTTTCATTGACACACATGTAGGCTGGCCTGGGTCGGTCCACGATGCAAGAGTGCTATGGCACAGCCCTATCTACAGGTCAGCGTACCCCCCAACTGGACATTTCATCCTTGCTGACGGAGGCTACCCCTGCCTTCAGCGACCACTCCCCCTCATCACTCCATACAAGAGGCCAGTAAGAGGTGTTGCAGCTCAGCGCTTTAACAGCTATCACTCAAGGGCACGCTGCATTATAGAGCGTGCCTTTGGGATGATGAAGAGCAGGTTCAGGGCTATCTTCCTTCAAACACTGGAGGTTCACCACACCTTTGCCCCTCATGTAAGTAAATACACCTGCTCTGCAAGGAAAATAGGAATTAAAGCTCAAGCAATAGCAATTACTCTAGTGACTCTTCCCACTTTCACAGGTTTTCACGGCGTGTGCTGTCCTGCACAACATCTGTCTCAGGGCTGGAGCCGTCGTGGCGCCGGAGGATGAAACAGAGGATGACGATGATGAGGATGTGGTGGAGGATGACCTGGAAGCTGTAGGTGGGGCTGCTTGGAGAGACCGAATATCAGCCGAGGTTTCTGCTCTTGTTGAGGCCCCAGTGMATCACGATTATTGCTGAGGTAAAGCACTGATATTACACGAACTTTATTAAATGCTAAAATGATAAACTATAAGTAACTTTCTGTTTTTGTTTCAGTGACATGGCCGGTGTTGCGTCTGCATGCAGTGAATGCCCAGCCCACAGACAAGAGGACAACTGAAACCTTAACATTCAAGAAGTGTCTCTCTGATGCCTGCTGTGTGGACGTTCATTTGCAGTTCTAGTTCACTTGTAGTTATCAATGCAATTACTTTCTATATAGTTTGTTGTGTAGTTCTTTTATTGTCTTGTGTTTTTTCTAACTTGTTATTCTCAAAAAAATGCACGTAATTGTGTGGTGTGTTCCCTTAAAAATACATTGTACATTACAGCTAAACTACAAGAGAGAGAAATAGGCAAATGTGGACTTTTGATCAAAACATTTGCAAAAAGTGAATTTTGTCAAAACATAATGAATTAATGCATTATCAATGTGTCGTTTGAATGAACTGTCTGAAATGTAACCGTAAAATAAAATTTTGAAACATCTTTTGAGCAATAGCAACAAAAACACATATTTTGAGCATAAACGCTTTAAATTTTTGCGATCTTCCCTGTTAAATTTGACATACCGTAATCCTTATTTCGATATGATGGGTCACATATTTGATACACTCACATTAGCTGTTCATAACAGTCTGTCTTGTCTATAATATGATTTATGGCTAGACAATCAACAAAATCCCTGCAATGACAGTTCGTCCTTGTGTCTTTGAAAGCTTTACATGCGCACTATGTAGTGAATGTGATTCAAAAAAATACTTTCATTATTAGTGAGTCTCTTCTCCACTGTTGTCTTTTCCTCAGAGTGTATTTCATAACCATACTTACACACTGTTGACAAGATTGGCTGAAATACAAAAAAGGTCATTAGCACAGTGGTAAAGTAACCTGGTATAAATACTGTGTTACTGTACTTAAGTATACATTTAGGATATCTGTACTGTACCTGATTAATTTATTTTTTGGCTTAATATTTTCTTCTACTTCTACTAATTGCATTTTCCAACAGTTACCTGTACTTTCTACACCTTACATTTTTAAAGGAGGAAAGTTTTCTGGTAGTTTTTTAAACTCTTGACACCATATTAGTTTGTATACAATCAAATCATGTCACACTCCAGCAGGACTTAATCACTCACATTAAAGGGACTGTACTTAAGCAGTATTTGTATTTGATGAAATATATTATTGTGTTTGTCCAAAGCCCTCAGAAAGATTTTAATTTTTGGGAAAACCTTTGGGCAGCCTTGAGATAAGTACATAAACTGAAACAGACTAGTGCTTCCTATATTACAAATCTGTTAATTATTCTAATGAAATAGTACTTTCTGCAGTTTTTGGTGAGGCCACCTCCTAAGAAATGTCAGTATACAGAAACTACTTGTGCTCATTTTCAATCAATGCTTTTACTTTTAATAATTTATTCCTATTGGATTTTGAAATGCGGTCAGAACTGTGTTATAAACAAATACACAAAAGTTTTAAAGAAAACGTTTATGACAAGGATGGGATATTGTTCAACAAAGCAGCAGAGCTGAATGACCAGACCAAGACAATAATTAAAAGATAAGTGCAGTTTTATTTACAGGTGGAGTTTGGTTTTGGAAATCAGCTGAAAAGGAGGAGAACGTAGAAGGTGAGTGTTGGTTCTTGGAAGAGTAATTTGTTGTAGATTTTCTCTTGTTAATAAGTGATTCTTTCTTACAGATTTTCCAGAGGCGAGGAGTTCCAGAGGAGGAGGTTTTCAAAGGCAGGTGGCAGTTCTTCAGGCAGTGGCTGTGAGGGTTCCGTGGTGAGGTTCTTTGTTTTCTGACCCAACTTGGTGTGAGGACTTCTTAGCATGAGGTGTGGCTTCTGTGATCATGGTAATCCACCTTGAACAAAGGATGAATGAGGTAAGTACAAAATATATTCTTTAACATAGAAACTAGGAGCTAGATGCTACCATAAAGGTAAGATGCATCAGCGTGGATCAACTGATGGAGGAGGTTTATAAAGCTGCAGCTGATCATCAGACAAATCCCCAACAGGTGGACAGCAGGTGCAACCGAAACCCTTTTGATAAAAAGAGACGCTCCCAGCAGCTGCAGTTTGAATGTAGACTGATGGGCACTCATCAAGCAAAACGCGTCGTTAGCTCTGGTAAATTTAAATTTTAAATCAACCAAGTTCAGAAGAAGTTTTTCACAGAAAAATATGTCACTATGTATCGGTCCTAATAACTCCACAGTCCTAGAATTAGCTGTCATGGAATTTCGTTTTTTGAATCCTTCGCTGCGCCCTGCTGGGTCCACAATTTCGTGCGATCCGGGGGTGTCTTTGTAAAACAGACCTGCAGAAAATTGACTTTTCAGACTGTTTCCTGAATAATTAATCATCGTCTCTATAATTGCGCGGTACGGATGGGTAGAGCTGGAATGCGTTATCAGCTGGTCACCCAAGGTCACGTCCACCAGACTAAACATGGTATTTAAAAGACAATTAATCGGTGCAACCTGTTCATCGTCATCAATGTCTGATCCATCGGCGTTCGTGACTTTAATCTGTAAATAAAGAAGAGTGCTATTCAAATCAGTACAACGTTCCGAATCTCCCGGGATAAAAAATTCAACCGGTGACGTGTCCGTTAATGCAGCGATCAGTAGCAATTCCGAGTATGTTTTCTCCAGAATGGAAAGCTGCGTCATCGGAGCTGCGAACAAGTCCAATTCTGATAAGGCGCATTCTGCAGGTTTTCCGTGTACCAGAGTCATGGTTTTTATTTTCCCCCCTCTCTCTCGTTCTTTAAAATACATTCGCGAGGCTGCTGCAGGTGCTTCTTCTTTTTCTTCGTCTTCTTCCGCGGCTTGCTCGGTTTAACTGATTTTTTTCTTTTCACAGTATCCTTCTTAACTGACCAGATTCGCTGACCAGGTGGTCTCTTTTTTCCTCATTTCGACAGGACCATTATTCCTGATCCATCTTGATCCTCCTCCCCTCGGGCCCGTTTCAACCCGCTAGTGGCTCTCCCAATTATGTCAGAGGCAATCCCTGTGGCCGCTTTGCGCAGGTGTGGCTTAACAATGGAGAATCCCCTGCGTATCAGAGGGGTGACGAAGCGGAAAAGCCTGGAAAAAAGCGATCCGATCCCACATCCGTAATAAACGGGACTTCCCCAGAAACCTGGTAAATTACCCCCTGCCTGGGTTACGTAATACTGTATAAAACGGTTAGGATCCTCCATCATCATCACAATTTAAGTAACTAATTTTATTTTAAAATATCTGCATGCATACATGCACATGCGTTCACAGAGTGATGTCTTGCTTATGAGGAAGACTTGATAGGTCTGAAGTGTAGTTTAATTATAGCTTTACCATATACAGTGGTTTGCAAAAGTATTCATACCCCTTGAACTTTTCCATATTTTGTCACATTACAACCACAAACATAAATATATTTCACTGGAATTTAATGTGAAAGACCAACACAAAGTGGTATGCAATTGTGAAGTGGAAAGAAAATTGTACATGATTTCAAAACATTTTTTGCAAATGAAAAAAATTAAAAGTGCAGTGTGCAAAAGTATTCAGCACCCTCTGAGCACAACCAATTGCATTCAGAAGTTGCCTGATGACTGCTAATGACTAAATCAGGGTTTTGCAACCTTTACAATCAAGAGCCATTTCTGCTACTGTCTCACTAATAAAATGTGTCCAGAGCTGCAAAACAAGCTACAACTGTGATTATCAACTGATGGTCCAGGGGCTTTTTGAGGCCTTTTCTAGAACC